AGATACAAGACTTAGTAACCGGCTTGTCTGTTACACTTTGATATCACAAATACACTCTGCTAACTTGGCAAGTCTATTCTGGGGGAAATATAAAGTACTATCTGGATAATAGTGAAAACTAATGTCATGGTTCCTGGTAATGCCTCCAAAGGAAAGCATATACAGTGCAAGGACAGAATTAAAGGACCTAATACTGAGCCCTGTAGCACTCCAAAAATTTTACGTTTTTTTTTTAATCTGACACTTCATCATTAACAAAAACTTGAGATTGATACAGTAGATAGGACCTTTTTGCATTATGGCCTCAGTGACAGCAGTTGTGTCTTACCGTAAAATGCAAGTTTCTTCCAAACATGTAACAGACTTGTCTGCCCTACATTCTGTGTTTTTCTGTCAATATGGGGTGCTGTGTGTACATTAATGAGGGAAAAAAATTAACTTAAATGATTTTAGCAAATGGCTGCAATATAACAAAGAGTGAAAAATTTAAGGGGGTCTGAATACTTTCCGTACCCACTGTATATAACTAACTACATTCAGGGTAACACTTTAGAACAATTTAGACTGTTCCATCATTAATGAATAACTACAAAGAAACAAATGAGTAAAACAATATTTATATTCTATTACCTAACAAGAAAATCTAATTAACAAATTATTACATCCTCTGATTGACCTGAAGATGACAACTAAGGAACACACATCTGATTCTAACTAAAGAAGGGCAATTTTTTTCCTGCATGGTGTGGTTAAGCAAGAAGTAACTGGTAAAATGTAAATACTCAGAAGATGACTTTGTATGGTCACTATTTCTAATTAATAATACAAATCATAATACATTGTTTTTGATCATTGGCATTATCAATATTATTAACTTGAGTTTTATTACCAATATAAAAAAAAAAATTCTGACCATAATGAACCATTAAACTGTTAACAGTAATACAGGCTCCAGTTGTCACAGTAGAAATTGCATGGCCTAACCTAAGTAACTGACATAATGGTTGTAATAATATCTATTAGTGTGTCACTTTGGCACTAATATCAGAGCCTTCATGCATTTTTTCAAATCTATATTGTAATTTCATTGTATTTTATCAATACTGGAAATTTCAGAAATTGTTCAACAGTAGTAATTGTTCTGCAGTATTCTCTCTACTAGTCCTTTTACAATGACTACATTTACATGGACATCAGTACTCTAATTATTTACCTTATTCTAAATTAGACAATATTATGATTCAGGTGTTTACATGAGTTGTTTTAAAATATTCCTTTCATGTTCCTGTTTTACATGTTATAGTACAGTCATGGCCAAAAGTTTTGGCAGTGACAAATTTTGTGTTTTGCAAAGTTTGCTGTTGTGGTGTTCATTCACATTGTTTCTAGATATAAAAGGAGGGAAGAAGTGCTTCCAATCATTGTGTTCTTGTTAGCAATGGTTACCTCCAAAGAAACACGTGCAGCCATCATCGCTTTGCATCAAAATGGCCTCACATGCAAGGAAATTGCTACAAAGAATATTGCATCTGAAAGAACCATTTACCGGTTCATCAAAAACTTCCCAGAGTGTCCAGCAAGTGCCAAGACCGTCTCCTACTGAGTAGTCAGCTACTGAATCATGTCACCTGCAGTGCAGAGCTTGCTCAGGAATGGCAGCAGGTTGGTGTGAGAGCATCTGCACGCACAGTGAGGCCAAGACTTTTGGACAACGGCCTGGTGTCAAGAAGGACAGCAAAGAAGCCATTTCTTTCCAAGAAAAACACCAAGGACAGACTGAAATTCTGCAGGAAGTACAAGGATTAGACAGCAGAAGTCTGGTGCAAAGTTATTTTCTCTGATGAAGCTCCCTTCCGACTGTTTGGGACATCTGGAAAATCGATTGTTTGGAGAAGAAAAGGTGAACGCTACCATGAGTCCTGTGTTGTGCCAAAAGTGAAGCATCCTGAGACCATCCATGTGTGGGGTTGCTTTTCAACCAAGGGAGTGGGCTCTCTCATAATTCTGCCCCAAAACACTGCCATGAATAAAGAATGGTATCAAAACGTCCTGCAAAGACCGACTTCTTCCAACGATCCATGAGCAATTTGGTGATGATCAACTCCGAGAACTGATAAGGCAAGAATGGATCGCCATCAGTCAGGATTTGGCCCAGAAGGTAATATCCAGCATGCCCGAGCGAATTGCAGAGGTTATGAAGAACAAGGGTCAACACTGTAAATATTGACTCATTGTATTTTTTTTGCCAATAAAAGCCTTTAAAACTTATGATATGCTTATAAAAGGCATTGTTGAAGCCATGCTCTTTTGTTTGCTGTCAAACTTTGCTGAGCACTGCCATGTGTGTGTCCTGTCACAAAATGCGGCGAAAATTCATACACGACGATAATAGTGTGATTAAGGTGTGTACATATCTATACTGCACTTCGATAATGCGACTAAAATAGGTACTCAATGAGTACGTATACATTACAACAATAATCTGATTTTAACATGATTAAGACAATACTCGGATTAAGAATCTACCATGTAAACAGAGATTTTTGATTACCTTAATCCGGCTAAAGTCATATTCGAAGTAAACAGAAATCGAATAAAGACATGTGGAGTATTCATATTTTAGTCGCATTACTGAAGTGCAGTATAGACATGTAAACACCTTAATCACATTACTACCGTCGTGTAGGACTTTTCGCTGCATTTTGCGACAGGATACACACATGGCAGTGGTCAATCGTTTGACGGCAAATAAAAGAGCTTCAACACCACCATCGTCTGTATGCACGTACAAATAATTAACTGCACTTGAAGCTTTCATAAAACTAAAAATGAAACACCCCAAACTGTATATGTCATCATCACGAAGACGAACTATACGTTTATACGTGAAGTTCTGCACAATTGGTGGCTGACTAAATACTTTTTTGCCCCACTGTATATGTACTATAACACATAAAACGGGAACATGAAAGGAGTACTTTAAAAGCAACTCAAGTAAACACCTTAATCATAATATTTCTTATTCAGAATAAGGTAAATAATCAGATTACTGACATCCATGTAAACGTAGTCAATGATATATTTAAGTAATTTAGATGCATTTCTGATCAGTCTGGAAATAGTCATTGATTGTCTCTTCTCAATTATACTTAATCCTGGTCGATTTTCAAAATTGCAAACACACACACTTTGACCATTTGTATTCATCATCTGAGATAAATGACTTATACTATGATAAGAATTCATATTATTTCATTATTTGATTGTAATAGAAATATGAGCCGTTAATGAAGAACATCCTATCGGTCTATAATATAAGAAATCCTATGTGTCCTCGGGATTCTACTGGACATGTCTGACTTGACCTTTGACAATGTAAATCACCAGATGTCTCAGTTCTGGTGACCTGCCCATCACCGGTAGGATATTTTGGTCAAATTTGGCCATGCTGATTTCAAAGTTTCACTTATTTTCAAAATATCCAATATGTTTGAATTTGCATATTGTCCTAGTTTATTCCCTTTTGGCAAAACATTATGAATGAAAATTAACTGACAACAACAGATCCTGTATCAATGTACCAATTAACAGAAAACCCTGAAATAATGTATAGATACTAAGACAGCAAAATTACAAGAAAAGCTTGGTGTACGTCATGTGTACATGTCCTTTTCCAACATAAAAAGAGTGTTCAAACCCAGACACACCAGCAGTGGCCATGGTAAAAAAAAAACAATAATACCATTGACAGGTGTTTACTTGCGTTAACTAACTTTTATTTGAAGAATTCTGTTTATAATATTGAGTTTGTACTTATTGGTCCTGCACTGCCTACTGAGGAAGAGGAAATTTAATGTACAATGATTATAATGCAAGGCTAGCACATCACATGTATATGACATTTTCATTTTTCAGCATCTTGTATGATTCATAAATTATGTCAGGCGATTTTAAATGGATCGTTATAAAGAATGTTTTTGCCTGTTTGGGGGATTGTTAGACTAGTCCGTTACAAAATTTCCATTTAAACATTAATGAAATTAGTTGTGGCCAGGGTTGGGGAAAGTTACTTTTAAAAGTAATGCATTACAATATTGCGTTACTCCCTAAAAAAGTAACTAATTATGTTATTTACTTTTTATGGAAAGTAATGAGTTGCGTTAATTTTTAAATCTGGGCAGGGCTTACTTGTTTGTTTTAATATAAAAAAGTTCTTCTTTTACTAATGTAAAAGCCCCTTTACACCAAAAGTGAAATGAATAAGCCTCAGGCTGAAGGAAATGTAAATTCACATCTGTACAGTAGAGGGTGCAGCTCAAACAAACTGCATGAATATTATGACGCAGGAGAAGAAAGTTCAATACTATTCAGCAATAACAAAAATGAAACAAATGTGCCATTTTTGCTAATTAGTAAGGCTAAATTGGATCATCGAAGGTCAGTAGCAAAGACATTGGTTAATACAATGGGATTAAATACAAATTATATTTTGTCTTATTTAACATTTAATTCTTGCAGGTTTGTGTAATATTCTGTGTTTGCATTTGACTGTTTTTATTCATTTTGAGAAACACTGAATCTGTTTTTGTGCAGGTGAAATGAGTAAATGCATATTGACATTTAGATTAGAATTACAGTAACATCATGTTCACACAGCACAGCACACACAACGCCTCTGAACTTACTCCCGATTTCTCTCAACATGCGGACAGGAGAGCTGTCAGAAACAAAGTACCTGTAGTTACTTATTTGAAAAAGTAACTCGGATATTTCCTTCTAAATTAAAAAGTAATGCGTTACTTCATATAAAATTATTATTTTTTTAATAAAAAAAAAGAAGGTTACATAACTCTCGTTAAAATAATAATAACTGGTTGTGACGCACATCCCTAGTATGAAACAGCCATTTTTCAAATAAAATCTGGTTAGATTATGATAGTTTCATGTTATGACGTGCTCTGTGGTTTGACCAAATTATGCACACAATAAACAAATTTTGATGGTTTGATTTATTTCACGCAAAACTTTTCTCTTTTTAAAACATACCAACGGTATGAATTGGATTAACAAACACAGAGTTTTACACAGATTTATATACAAAACAACAACAAACAGATTCTTGCTTTCCTAAGCCTACTGTTGTGTGACTCACTTCATGTAACATCTTGCTTTTTCTTTCACTTTCTGCTTTTCTACCCTTCATCACTATCTCTCTCCTGTCGCTCTCGCTCTCTTCTCATCTCCTTCAGTTCTTGTCTGTACTTTCTTTCGATGAAGCGTTTCTGATGAGCCATTTGAGGGAAGTTATCTGCAGAAGACCAGAGGGAAAGAACATGTTAAACAGAAAACCAAGACTTTCATAACCTTTAGCATTATAATAGCTGCTTCAGCCAACCAAAAAAAAACAGCACTGTAACAAACACCTTATTGCCATAACATGTGAAAATGTTTCTTCTAAAACCATTACCAGTTTTTTGTTAACAAATGCCACAAAGTCACTCACATTTCTCCAACGCATCCATGGCTGCACCCATCTCAGCTTGCTGAATACTGTCGGGATAAAATGAAAAGTTATAAATGTTCCACAACTCAAAAAATGGGATCTATCATTCTACAGAAAGGATTAAATCCAGTACGTATGACCCATCGAACCTGCAGCGGGGCTCTTCATCTACTTTCGCTCAACGGCCATGTTTAAAATTAAAATTCAAGGGTGGCCAAACATTTTTCAATGAATTAACATACCTAAATACATAAGCTTAAGATGTTAATATGAAAACAAAACACTCTTAAATTTTGTGCTAAGTAATATTAAAATAACTGAATAACTAAAAAACAGGTACATTCCCCACAAATACATTTGGGTTTAGTGAGCTACTGAGAACTATTATAAACGCATCATGAAATTTAACTGACATGAGGTGGCATATCACCAACATACAGTTATTAAATTACTCTGAAATCAGAACTCAAGATGTCAGATACAGGCTCACTGAATAGAAAGTGCAGTCTGATACATAGAGCAACACTACAAAAATAGGAAGCCAGCAGATGATAAAAATGTCACAGGACAGAAACGTAGATTAATGTTCATGAGAGTTTTTAGGTGGCATAAAGGTAGCACTGGACATGGCAAGTTCTGAGAGTGGGACATACGGAAGCTGTTTTTGACACAGGGCCAGACGTTTATAAGAGCAGATATGTAGTGATTTGGCAATGAGGGTAAATATTTGGATGTATTAGTACCTTGGTCCTTTTCCACAGCCAATCCGTTCACCTTTAAAATACACTGCCACTGTGTAGGTCCTGGCATGAGAGGGTCCAACTGTCTGAAGTGTCCTGTAAAAGAAGATGAAGAGTATCACAGTTGAGATGAATGAAAAAAAAAAACTGGATCTGGAAAATTGGATCTGTGATCACATTACACTATTATAAGACTTCAAACTGGCCTTGCATCAGTAAAAGCAAACATAGGCAAGACAACATAAACTGAAGTTACATCAAAATTATTAACCTTACCATCACCATGCGACTTTGCACCAAATCCAGCTGACCATGAACAATCAGCGATGAATACAACAGTTGCTCTAAATATATCTCTCCAATTTAGTTTGATTTAGTTCAGCTGATTTTCCCCATACAGTTTAATGTGATTCCAATCACAATCCAAGCATTCCATGTTCGCAATGGAGGATCTAGGAACTTCAAACAACGACAAAAAAAAAAAAAAAAAAAAAAAAAAAAAAAAAAAAAAAAAAAAAAAAAAAGGAGTAACGAAGAAATTGTTGGGATCTTCCCTAGATCTGTGTGTCGAGCCATCGACACAATCCTGTCTCTGAGCTGTGCAGGCAGAGGATGTTCCTTTGACCTTATGGCTTGGAAAATATCCCTAATCAATAGAATTTGCAGCACCTGGACTCCAATCAAACTGTAGATCTCAAAGATGATCCAGAGACATGGGATGCAACCAGGGCTAAATTGTAGAAATGAAATTTACATAATATGATGATTCATTTTTCTCCTTTCTATTTATTAAATTTGCAGTGTTATTGCAAATTTGTCCTTATAGGGTATAGAGTGTAATGTGGGATATACTGTATATACACACATATGGGTTTGAATACTTTTGCAAGGCAAATACCCTTTAAACAGAAAATTGATTTACCTCTTCATCTTCATCCTCCTTCAAAGGATGTTAAAGGGGTCATATGATGCGATTTCAAGTTTTCCTTTCTCTTTGGAGTGTTACAAGCTGATTGTGCATAGATAAGATCCCTGAAGTTGCAAAGACTAAAGTCTCAAAACCAGAGATATTCTTTATCAAAGTTGAGACTCTGCCACGCCCCCCTAAAACGGCTCGTTCTAACCCCACATATCTACCTCACTATGTGGAAATATTTGCATAATGCCACCCAAATGTGCACGCAGAGAAAGAAGGTGTGGTTTCAGTAACTGCAGTTAATGTTGAAGCAGCCATGTCAGGGAGACGCTGTGTGTTTCTAGGCGAAAGCAAAAGCACTTTATTTGGCCTTCCGAAAGTAGATTGATTTAGGAATCTTAAGATTACTTACAACAGAACAGCAATGCATTTTATGGATGACCATTTCGTGAACCTAGGAGAGGAGGTCATTCTGACTTTGCTTAGTTTAAGTATTTGCTATTGACTGTTCAAATGCGCAGTTTTGCGCATCGTGTGTGTGTGTGTGTGCGTGCATGCGCGCGTGTGTGTGACAGAGAGTGAGAGATCACAGTGGAGTCAGCTGTCGAAAAATAATGTGTTTTTTGAACATTAAAGCATGTCAACATATTCTGTTACACCAAATACACAAAATAATGATCTTTAAAAAAAGCATCATATGACCCCCTTTAACTCTTTCCCCACCAGCATTTTTAAAAAAAAGTTGCCAGCTACCGCCAGCGATTTTGATGATTTTCACTAAAATTTGATGGCCTCCAGTATATTTTGCTGTATGAATATTTAAATATGCAATACACCAAAATAAAGACCAGAGCCTCTACATTTAAACAAAAAAAATCTATTTTATTCTAGCTTAAAGCATTCTTTTTTTTATCAACACTTGAATATAGGTAAGTTTCATAAAAAATACATAACTTTGAGAAAAAAGGTGAGAAAATAAAATGATCAAAAACTACATCTGGATAATATTCAGTACGATTATCAAAGCATAAATCCAGTAAATCGCTTCCATCAACACCTCCAAAGCTTGCACAGACATATTCCACTTCCTGGATCAACATTTTACTCTGTAACATTATGCAGTTTTTATTTATATGCTGTCTATTGCTGATGATCGCATTATTTTTCATATGCAT